AATATATGTGATTGATTGATAGAAATGGTTTTGTTGGGAAAAGACCATTGAAAGAAAATGTCAAATCTGTCATAACATTGTGTGTGTGTGTGTGTGTGTGTGTGTGTGTGTGTGTGTGTGTGTGTGTGTGTGTGTGTGTGTGTGTAAAAATATGCAGATGTATTTGTATTATATTTTTAGTTCAGAAATTGATTTTTTTCTTGATCCTGAAATATCTTGTCTTTGTAAATAGGTTCATTGACCTTCAGCCTCAACTCATTCTGTTAAAAAACATGATGACAAAAAGAAATGAAAAAAATATGCTATTGCTTAAGCAAGAATTCTCTCCACACAACATAGAGAAATTATATTCATGTAATCAAGCGGGACAAGTGCGGAGGTGGAGCCCGGTCACAATGTTTTTTAACGTATTTTGGTGCAATAAAACACCTGCAGTGAAATAGATGCTGCAATATGTAGTTAACATGGTTCTCTTCAAAGCTAAATACATTCTTTTGATGTGGTACCAGGTGTTGGTGATTCGCCGCAGTGGACAAAGGCACTACTTTGAGTTCCCAACAGTATAATACATCCCAATACAAAGCCATAAACAGGAGATGAACCAGCTTTAAACCTCAGAAAACATGAGGCGACGTAAAAGCAATGTTAAAATACAGGCGAACGCTGGCAAAAGAGATAAAACGAGAAGTATAGTCGCCTGAGCAAGAATCCGGCTGTTTTGGAGAGGAGTGGGGGCCCGTATTGCACCGAGTTACATCATTTTTCTGTGTGCTTTTATAACTCAATTCTAGGGGCGCCACGCATCAGAAAAATACACGTATTAGGTGTTAAAACCAAATAAGCAGCCATCCTTTTTGCTGTTGTTTTCTTTATTTCAGTGGCGTCAAAATGAAGACAAAACCACAGCATTAGAATGGTGCTATGTCATATAATATATTCTGAATTATGTTTTTCAGTCACTGGTTGACAAATCAAGTTTGCATTTAAATGACATAAAAAATATTCAACTGACGTCAAAAATACTTTGAATTCACACAAGGTAATACCACACAACTATTTAGCCAGAGCCCCTGCTTCCTGAAAACCGTTAGGGCCTGGCTGGTCATGCTAATTTCAGTTCATACGCAGAAATGTGAGGATTTACTAAAATATTTTCGATTAAGTCTTCAGGCTGAAGTATCTCGTGGCCTGCTCGCATGGCAGCAGAGATTTTGAGATTGTTTAGAAACGCTATGCCTCTTATTATCCGCACATATAATGAAAAATGATCCAGCGCTCGAGTATATATCGGTCTAGACTGTGATGGAGAAGCCGTTGGGGAATTCATCTGGTTTCAAATGTCAATTGTTGAGAATATTATTTTGAGCAGCGCGATACATACAGAAGCCAATGGATTTCCACTCTATTGATTTCAATGGTTTTATCTTCTCTACGGCAGCCATGTTTGTTACGCAGGAGTTCCAAACAGTGTGTGCATTACTTCATACTATAATTAGTAATATACATTTATGGAATATATACTAAAGTAGAAGGCAGTTGACATAGATTTTTAAAACTGATGCATTATTTGATTTCAATACAGACGTTACAGATTATGGCCTTTTTATTTTTTTTTATTTTTTTTAAACTACAATATTTTGGTTCAATAATTTTCAACTCTAGTTTTCGTTACTTCCCTTTTCCCTGGGCCCAGAGTGTATATAGAAATGACACAGACAAAAGATGGCACCATAAAACATTAAATTATATACAGGACTAAAATCAATATCAGAAATAAAAATGAAATGGAGATGTAAGGGTAAAAAACTTGACCTGTCCTGCTCCACCCAGAGATTACTCCACCTCTGCTGCTGTGACGCGTCCTGCTCCACCCAGAGGCTACTCCACCTCTGCTGCTGTGAACTGAAGGGCTGTTGCTGATTATTACTATTAGGTGTTTAGAATGATCAATTTTATTTTTATTTTTGCTGCTACTGAACACCTGAAATTCTCCCACGGGGATCAATAAAGTATCTATCAATCTAAGAAATTAAAGAAAGCTAGGACTGCTTAATAAGAAGACAAAATGAACTTTTAACATTGAAGTGGTAGCTTCCACATAGATTTAATTATTAATTCCAGACTGACTTATTTACTATACAGAATAACTCATGGATTTGGTATAGGTCTCGAATATCTCATCAATGAAATCTGGTCAGGAGACATCATGACAGAAGTATGAGCACTGCATATTAAAACGCCAACTGTTCCCATTATGCATTCAACTTCAAGAGAGGTCTTTATTGATGCTATAATTGACATGCTGTAATTTCTGCTTTCGTTTGTGAAATACTTTTGCTCGGAGGAGAGAGTACTTTGAAGCGGTTGGACAGCTCATCTCCGGCTGTGAGATCAGAGCGTCAAGATAGAGCCATTTGGGAGCGGGGAGAGTGAATGAGCCTTTAAAGTAATAGCAGTGAAAACAAACACTACTTGTGCTGACGGCTCAAGGTTCCTGCACTTCAGACGTCTCAATAATAATAATAATAAAGACCTCGGATAGTGCTGTGTCTGTGTAAGTAAACATACGCCGCGATATTGTACAGGATAAAGAGGATGGAGAGGGGCGTAAGTGACAACGCTGATCCCAAAACAATTTAGCCTTGGTCTACAAGTGGCACTGGAGTAGATCGGCTGAATGCCACTTATTATTATAACTTACAAATTGTGCATTTATTCAGCGATCAGACACATCATACATACTCAAAACCACTTTACCTTTAAAAAGAGGGTTTCAAACGCTGTACGATAAAGTAGTCATTGTGTGTACAGGCATAGAGCTAGTGGATGGAAAGTGGATTTTTTTTTGTCCTGCAGAAGAAAGTATTTACAGTTTTTTGTAACAAACCGGTCCTGGTTTAGGTTAATTTTCTGCTTTATTTTGTAATTTATTAACCCCTGTGTCTTCTTTAGTGGTACTTCCTGTTTTGTGTGTCTCATTAGTTTTGTATTTAAGCCCTGTCTGTTCCTTCATTCCAAGTTGTGTCATTCCACGTCTGTTTTAGTCCTTGTCCTCGGTCCCTGTTTGGTTAACGTTTTTTGTTTGATTTTGTTTTAGTTTTAATAAATCCATATTTTTTGCTGCATTTTGGGTACTTTTAATTTTGCCCACATGACAGCACACGGAATGGACCACTCAATAATTATCCTCACGCAAGAATCAACACCATCAAAGGACTTAGACTGAATTATATCATATACTATTAATTAATTTCTCTGTAAACTTATGGGAGAAAAATGCATTTCTGAAAACTATTATGAGACTGGCCATTTAAATACGGAGCTCATAGCACTACACAGAAAGCTAGTTCAAGATGAATGTTTTATGAAATGACTAATGGAAACAGAAATAAGGCCAAGGATTATAATTGAGAACAAGCCAATGAGAAACTTTCCATTACTGCACTCACAGGTGGGTGGACTGTGCTGCCACCATAACTAGTTTTTATGCAGAAAATATTTAACGGATTATTTTGCATGTAGTTAATTCTCATTCTAGACTAAAGTGTTTGAACAATCCCATTATATACAGTAGTAGCACAAGAAAATCCGTTATGTCTGAAACTTTTAACAGAGAATCAAATCTATGACTGGGCCGTGCATTTATCTTAAGTTAATCTTCAATCTTCTTCAATCAATATTCTTGACCTTTGAAGTCTTACAATAACATCTTTGTCAAGTATTTAAGTGTAAAATCGTGGCTGGTCAGTCAAAATTATCAATTTCTTGCAAAGGTGGTTGGCAAAGAGGCAAGTACTTTACATTTGCCTCTAATTTTGCCAAACGTTAAACTTTTACACTTCTTTTTATTATTATTATTTTCAAGATTGAGATTTTATACTTGTTATTGATGCTAGAGTTAGATATATATATATATTTTTAATTAGTATAGCTATTGTTCACTTATCTTATCTCGTGCTGTGTGCTCCTCTTTCCTACTGTTCTACAACTTGTGATGCAACACTGAAATTTCCCCACTGTGGGACGAATAAAGGATCTCTCAATCTTAATCATAACTTTCCAGAAATCTCGATGACATTAGTCCAGCGTTCTCAAATCTGAGCCCATTTTGCTTTTATCTTAATGATTTAATATGTTAAAATATTTATTAGTGATTTAAGTTTGTCTCCGCAAACCCAGATACGAGTACAGTATGTCTTCTTTAAGTATAGATTGGAGAGCTTCTGCCCTCTGACTGTCATACTTAAGGCAAATCAGGTTGAATGGGCGCTACAAGGACACCCCTGTCTATCGCTGCCACATTTAAGGGACTCCTGCTCAAAGCGTTGAGCTCAGCAGTCTCCGGCCGCTTCGCTGTCACTCAATCCAGCCATGTTGAACTCACACTACTATTTTCACCTTTTGGCAATTTCACACGACAAGTGAAGCTGACAGAGAGTGACCACGGTGAAACTGAAGATAAAGAGGCAATGAGAGGCGTCATCAAAGGGAATCAAAGAGCAGTGAATAAGTAATGTTTATTTATATAACGCATTTTACAGACTAAGATCACCCAAAGCACTTTCCAATGTTCAGAGTCAGATATTGTTCCAATCCTTCCACACACGGTGATGACAGAAGCGAGTCCAGAACACACTGGACCATCAAAGCCTCCGACCAAACACCATCCATTCACTCTCTCATCTACATTCATACCCATTTGCATTTTTTTGTGGTAGGGAAAACCGGAGCACCCGGAGGAAACCTACGCAGACACAGGGAGGACATGCAAACTCCACTCAGAGAGGCCCTGTTCCGACCTGGATTTGACGTAACAAGTTTTCTATTATTCAAAATTCGCAATAAAAGGAAAAAAAGCACCAGTCTCAAGGTCGAAGTTTCCGGGTCAGAGAAGATATTCGCAAAGTTAAAGCAAACCGGCTCGAGTCGATAATTAATTATGAAAATAGCAGATGATTAAAAGGGCTAATCATTTTAGCTGTAATCCCAGGGCAATCGAATCACTTCCTTTTGATGCGACATGTCTTAGCGGGGAGGAAGCTGGACCCGCTGAGGGCCCGGGAGGACAGACAGAGAGTGGGTACACTTGCGGCGGCGCTACAGACTGCAGCTAAAAAAAGACCAGGGGGAGACAAACAGCGTCGAGTCCTTTTTAATCTGACAACACTTCCCCCTGTCTCCTCGCGTGTCCCTCTGAGCTGCAGCGATCTGCCTCTCCACGTCCTCATATCTAATGCGTTTTGGCGGGCCGTACCCACGAGTGCTTGTCCTGGCAGCGCCGTCGACGTCCCCAAAGCCGGGTCGCGAGTTCAGCCGCAGCAGTGACATCATCAGCGGTTGGCATTACTCACAGCTCACCTCACTTCACTGTCTCGTCTGTGGCTGAGCGGCGCATCCATTTTGGAAGGTTTAGCAGCTTTATGTGTGCGCGGTGTCAAAATGTGCAGCATAGACAAGGTGTGGGGAGATTACAGCGGCAAAGATTGGTTTATTTCAGGGCTGTCGGTCTTCAGTCGATTAATCGGTCGATGGCAGTGACATGTTTATTAGTCGAATATTTATGTCAATGCTAATAGTTTGGGTTACTTTTCTAGAATACCTTTCAGTGTAAGGGCAGGTTTCAATACAACTCTATGGAAAATGGAGTTTGCATTTTTGAAAGAAATGTTGAAAATGGAAATGTCACTATTTTTAGACCACCGTTGGAATGTACTGACAAAAGAAGATGTGGACCTTTTTGTTTCGTGTTGATTGGCCCATAATTAGTCAAATAATTGTGGCTATACTAATAGTTTAGTAATCGCATGGCGCCGTAAAGGTGGCGCCGTGGCAAGAGCTCTGGTGTGTGCCGTCTGGTGCACACTGGGGTAGTCTTGCACAGTTTTTCCAATGTGGTTTTACTGCAAATGGCAAATAAATGAATCTGAATCTGAGTTTAGGTTAATATTGTAGAATACTATTTTAGAGTAAGGGCAGGTTCCAATACAACTCAATGGAAAATAGGGTTTCCCATAGAATTTTTATGAATTTTTGAAAGAAATGTTGAAAATGGAAATGTCTCTACTTCTAGAAACCTTTTTATGAGATTATTTTTAGACAATCATTGAAAGGTACAAAGGAGATATGGACCTTTTTGTTTCATGTAGATTGGCCCAGATATAAGCTCTGAACTAAGGCTAGGATTCTGACTTCTGGCGGTTACTGTGGTCATCGGGAAAGATTTTTCAGCTGTTATTTTAAACAACAGCCTAATCACAAGAACAAGGGTTTTTATGGGAAAACAACTAAAATGGTTGTTTTGGCATCTACTTTGATATTCATAAAGTCTTATAAACATCTGATTTATCATGTTGAAATCAAACTTAAATGTGTTGTGACAATCAGGGTCAGGCACATATCAGTTTGAACTGCAGCCCGACTTTATTGAGAGAATTTTTGGGGATTTCCACTCCGTCTGTGGCTGAAAGTAAAAACCTAGATCAAATTACTTTTGTCAGAAATAAAAATTGGCACATGGTTTAAACTGTGTGACTACAACTTATAAACAAATTACATTAAGATGATGAAATTAAAGACTGATTTGTGTTTCCACCAAATAGTTTTACCACAATGTCAATGATCTCTGAATGAAGCCGCTACAAAGAGAGTAAGCACAAAGTAAAAAATAACCACTTCTATAAAACGCCTCACATCCCAATGAAGATTATTATTCAATTAGCAAGTATGTTAACACAGCTAAATAATGCAACAAACGGCGAACAACCTGCTCTTTTTAATTAGTCGCAAAACGAAATCAGGTGTGGAATAATAATCTGAAGCTACAGTTTGTCACAAGAAGTAATTGAAAAAGCCTGTTTTTCCCGAATATGTGTAAATATGGAGAGACCACAATATGTAGTTTTAGTTTTATGATTCATGAGAGAGGAGCATTGCCATTTAAAGAGTATGTTCCAGATGTTATCACTAGCTTTTAAAAGTCACTGGGAAAATGGTTGTTTTATTTCAACATGAATCATTGCAATGTATTTAAATGATAATACATCTACAACAATAGACAACTGAGGGATTTTATAATTTTATCTTTCTGTTTAATGTGCTGTGATTATTTATGATTGTAAAGCCTTTTGGTGTATGAATTGTGCCATACAAAAAACTTGCCTTGCCTTTTATTGTCAGAAATTCGCACATGTTTCTCTATGATAATGCCAGCTGTGATTTTGATTCCCGAGACAGCTGATTTTTGGGTTTCTCACCCGAGCAGTGGGTCAAGTGTGTGTGAAACTGACATATATTAAGATTAAGAGATCCTTTATTTGTCCCACAGTGGGGAAATTTCAGTGTTGCATCAGCAGTTAAAGAATAGTATGAAAGAGGAGCACACGGCACAAGAAAAGTGAACAATAGCTGTACTAATTAAAACAAAAAAAACTCTAACTCTAGCATCAATAACAAAAAAAAATCTCTATCTTGAAAATAGTAATAAAAATAAGTATAAAAGTATAAAGTACTGTGTATTCTAGTGCAAGCAATGTGGAGTTATATGTTAGCATCTGTACATTAGCAGCAGTATGTTAGCATCTGTACATTAGCAGCAGTATGTCAGCATCTGTACATTAGCAGCAGTATGTTAGCATCTGTACATTAGCAGCAGTATGTTTACATCTGTACAATAGCATCAGTATGTTAGCATCTGTACATTAGCAGCAGTATGTTAGCATCTGTACATTAGCAGCAGTATGTTAGCATCTGTACATTAGCAGCATGAGGCTCTGAGACACAGGGACATGTGGTTATTGCACATTCTGACTTAGGGCTGGGCAATAAATCGAATTTAGGCAATTAATCGGCTTTTGAAAAAATTGAATTTGTGAAAAATTGGAAAATTGTGAGATCGAATAAAGGATATTGTGAGAGTGAATTATACTTACGAATTCAGCACAGTCTGTACTAGACTTTTATAATACGTGTTGGAATTAAAGATAGTTTTGACACTTGAATAATGAGCGGAAAGATAAAAAATACTTTTAAGGGCAAAGTCTGTCTTTGGGGACTTTAATGAAAATCAATCTAAAATCGTAATCGTCCAAAGCAGGAAATATAATCGATATTTTACTTTTTTGCCATATCGCCCAGCCCTATTCTGACTATATGCGTTCGCCGCAGACTATCACTGAAAAAGCAGTGCTCTAAACGTTCACAAATAGAAATATGAGCTACAAAGGACTGGAACAGACTCAATAAATAATACATCTCATTGTTATAGCATGCCCCTGCACTGCACCATTCGCACGTTTACTACAATACACTCCAGGTTGGCTACGACTTTATCATCTCCAACGGCTGCGATAAAACGGAGAACCAGGCGAGCAGGTACACCCAAAGGCATGAATATTTTAGCAGGAATACTGAGAACACAAAGTACATCAAACTAATAAAGACACAGCGAACAAACAGGAGCAAAGTAGGACAGCCAAATAGACGGCGTGTCTCGGAGAACGACTGACATATTAACTCAAAGAGACAAGAGCAAAACAGAACAAAGGATGAAACGATCACAGGCGAGACGGAGGGAGGAAGAGAGGAAGAAAGAAGGGCGCACTTGGGTGGGTGAGCGCGCGCCGAGGGCAGACCGGGTGCCAGGATTAACTGATTTCACTATTATTCGCCATTATAAATGTCACGGTGGAATAAAAGCCCAGACGCCGAAGATAAAGTCCTCTGCATTCTTCTTTCGATCGTGTGGTTTGGGTTGGAGATGGGTAGAAGATGTTCGGATAAGAATCAGTAGCTAGAATTCTTTTTACGAATAAGTTTGGTTTGGCATGTTATGAACTTAAACTAAACAAAAGAGACTAATGTGAAAATTGAAGAGGAGCGAAGTTACTGAAATTGTTTTTGAATAATTGCTATGTTTTGACGGTGCCTGACATTGCCCTAGGTATCAATAATGTGTCTATCATCTATGTATGACAATAATAACAATAATAATTAACTCTGAGTGGGTAGAAGAGTGGACAAGGGGGTAGAATGGTCCCAGTAAAAGCCAGATTAAATATTTTAGCAAATGAATATCCCTAATTTAAACAGTTGGTTGATAGTGTAAGGGTTAGGCTAAACTTGAAGTGAGAAATGGTAACAGCCAATAAACCTTTGCCTTTTTAACACAAAGGGAAATCAAAGCTTCTTTACTACTACTTCTACTAATACTTTACTACTACTACTACTAATACAAGCTACTTTATTGTACTTTTTTTGATTCAAATGTATTTAAAATAATCAATGTTGCAAGTAGGTCCTACAATAACATGTGGCAGTAGAAATATGAGGTTAGCAACTGATAGATAATGTCGTGAAATAACTTGAAATCAAAAGAATCTGTCCTGAGTTTGATTTAAGCTGTCGAACTCATAACAACACTAAACTTTCTGAATGAATACTTCAGCTTTAGAGTTTGCCCATTATATTATTTAGAGCTATCCTTAGTTTAGCAATATTGCCCAGACATAAAACTACACAGATAAAGTACAAGTTGACTGTGACATCTTGAAGTGGCCCCAGGCACGAGGGTCGGTTTAAGGAAGGAGTGGCTCAAACCAGTGCAGTCCGAGCTGTGACCTAGTGGCGCAGGACTGAGGAATTCTCCGACCCGGACACATACCTCCGGTCGCAGACGTTAACCCCTGCAGTGCCAAGCTAATGCTACTGCGGCATCGGCATGAGAGCAGCTACAGACTGGAGGACAAAGATAATGATCAAAGAACGCCCGATAGAGTGGTCGGTCAACATTTCAGCCTAAACAACATTAAAGAACATATATTTAGCTGCATTCAAACACTTTGGTGCAAAAAGAGTTGAATCATATTTTTAAAGCTGGGGTATGTAACTTTTCCCATAAATAACACCCTTTTGCCACAACATGCAGTCTTCTTCTTATTAGAAAAGTATTTTGGCTTCCGTAAGAAAGAGCTCTGTGAGTCACTATTTGACGCTTTGAGCTGATAGCTAATTATATATATAACATAGGCCAAAATATACATACATGTGAAAACAAGAGCTAGAACCAGACTGTTTTGAGATCAAGGAACTGGTTGTATGGATTTTAATACATAAAGTTACGTTACCACAGCTTAAAGAGAAATAGGCCCTAAACACAAAAAAATGGTTCAGACTTAGGAATCTGCCATGAAAAATTACATTTGTTGGTTGATCTCTATTTCGAAGAGGCCAAGTATATTTGCCTTCACTTTATTTTCAGCGAAAGCAGAGTTTGAACTGCCGGATCAAGTGCGTGAATTGAAGGCCACATTTATTGAACAGAAAGTAGTCAT